TTAATGTAACCATAATAAAATAAAAGATTAAAGTTTTAAGTCATAGGTGTTGGATAATAATAAGGATAAAGGAGTAGAAAGTTTATTTAAAAAAACAGTAGCATAACACTTTGTAAACCTAGAGAAGGGTGTAAGGGTCCAGGTACAGGAAAGTGAAAGATTTCCAATCAAATTCAATCCACGTAAGACTATCCAAGACAATTATAATCAAACAGAGAGTGACTACAATACAATAGTGGTAGAGGACTTTGACACTCCACCTTCAGGATAGATAGATCATCCACACAGAAGAGCAATACAGACCATTGAACTTAAACTACACACCAGATCAAATGGGCCTAACAAACTAATACAGAACATTCCATTTAACAGCTGCAGAATATACCTTCTTCTCAACACCATATGGAACATTCACCAGGTGAGATCATATGTTAACCTGCAAAATGAGTCTTAGTAAATTTAAGATCAAAATCATATCAATATTTTCTGACAATGGTTTAACAACTAGAAAGTAATAACAAAGAGAAATGTCAGAAAACTCAAAATACATGTTTTCATCATTATACAATGTATAAAAATGTATTGAAATATATATCCTCATTAATACGTACATTACATGTCAATCATAAACAATTTTTTTAATTTCAAAAAAATTAAAAATGTGATCACCCTATGAGCTAGCAATGCCTCTACTGAGTATATATTTAAAAAAAATGAAATCTACAGATACTACTATTGAACCTAGATTTGACTCTCCTGACAGTCTGGTTACTCTGATTCTAATAATCTGGACTGCCAGGTTCCATTAAAAATAGTATCCTAGTCAACAGTTGGATGCTAATAGTTAGAAAGCTTTGGAAAGAATGGTGAAGGAATTCCACATCCCTGATACAGTAATCCCCACATTATCAAGACAGCTCACTTGACTTAACCTTTGAGATAATAAGATCCATTCATTATTTGTACTTTAGTACAGACTAATCAGTCTTTGTTCTTAATACTTGAAACTAAGGCCGTGGAGAAGGCAAGAAATAAAGACTGAGTTTTGACTGTGTAAGTCTTTTAGAAAGGGCAAACTAGAATGGTTTGTTGAGAAACATTTTAAGACTTTATTTATATAAAAAGTATTTCACTTTATTGAACATGAAGGCATCAGGTTCTTATTGGACACAAATGCTACTTAATGGGAAATATGCTTATTGAAGAATGTTCCAAAACACATGAATTTACCTGAGATTCAGTCTGCAGAGACTATCTAATAAATTTCACCATGTTACACTTCCTGATGGAAGTGAATAGTAAATGAGCAAGGTAGCACAGTTTTAAGGTGTCTTAGTTCTGAGCTTGTGCATTTTAACCTTACTACAAGTATAATTTATTTTGGGCTATGTACTTGTTGGCTAGATAGCAAAGGAACATTAATATTAGATTTTTAATCATTTATTTGCTATCATGACCATCATTCTCTCTGCTGGCACATATATAAATTCAATATGCATCAAATGTCTTGAGTTTAAGCCTAGTGTTTATACTATTAACACTATTTACTGTGCCAGAAGCTATTCTAAAAATTTTAAATATATTAACATATGATATGCAACATATAATACAAATACATTAATACTCCTTAAGAGCAAAGGGTTTTTTCCTAACGTGCAGATGAAGAGTCTAAGAACATACAGTTTAAACAACTTCACCCATTATAACAGAGGTAATATCAGGATTTGGGCCTAGGCAAATGCATAACTTAAACTTGTATATAATTTCAAGTTTAGCTGTTTCCTTCTTTTAATTTGTTTGCTGTCACTCATGGTTGAAAATGTATCAGTGTCAGGAAGTAAACTGATGTTTGCTATTGTTAATAAACTACATGACCAGGTCCTTCTTCATGGGGGAAGAAATTGCTTCATATACAATATTGTTATTGTATGGTTTTCATTTTAACAGTAAAAGAAAAGTCAGGTTAAGGTTTTAGGAAGTAACAATTTAATACTGAATATTTAGAAATAATGGTACACACAGACACCACAGTAATATAAAATGCATACGATTTTAAACTGTTTTCTTATGAACTCTTAACATGAATGGCTGATGCTTCCAACAAATAAAATTTTGGACAAAGGTACCAGATATTTTGGGGGGATCATTTTAAATACCATTTAGTCATGCAATTAGGAGATCTTTAAAAAAATAAATATGGCAAATATATGGATTTCTGAAGTATAAACTGACATACAAATCTATATATTTTCTTAATATTTTTCATTAAAGCATCTTTAAAGAAGCATTCTGTAACAGGAAGTTGAGAGCTCAAATTAGATGCGATGAAAAAGCATGAAGTTTTATTAGAATTGTGTAATTCAGATACTATTTACATAAAAGTAAACACAAACTTGATAAACAAAATTACATATTTTATTTTATTCTCCAAGTCCTTAATTTCAGAAAACTACTTACTGTAAATATAACATCAAATTCCCAATTCTGAATGTTATTAAGGAAACACATATAGGAGCAATTCCAAAAACTTGAATTCTACCTTCAAAGAACAGTGAAGGAGTAACCCAACATTGCCCCTTGGGGATTGTCAAAGCTTCTTCTAGAACTCCTCAGGAGTAGATTCTTTCGTGAGACATAAGCATATCATCCTGTAATAGGCTTTCATGTCCAAACTGACACATGATCACAACTCCAAACCATAGGTTTGTGATTTACGATTAGATGTCCCCACTTCATTTCCACAAACATGCAGGCAGCTCAGAGGAAAAAAACAATCATTATCTTTTCCTACTTGAATAGTTCGAATAAAATACCTATTATGAGTTTACAGAGAAGAAATAACAATCTTACACATAGTGAGCTTATGAACTTAAGATTTTAAATTTCAAGTAATAAATAGTAGTTATTGGAAGAACATATTCCTTAATGGAACTTAAGCCATCAAAACATAATTGTGTTACATTATGCATTTAAAAAGTTAACACAGGAGTAAAAAAAGGATTTTCCCAAACTAAATTCAGAGCAATGAACCTTAATCCTGACCATAAATTAGAATCACTGGGAGAGTTTTTGGAAAAACTGAAGCATGGTTCTACTGCCCTATAATTCAGATATTATTGTATGATGGTGCCCATATTAAAAGATCCTTGATTGATTCTAACCTGAAGTGAGGGCTGGAAGGCATTGATTTGGAATAATTATTAGATTATTAATTACTCAGGGTGGATTTGATTTAAATTAAAAAAAATTCAAATATATGAGCATTTCCTATATAATAGGCACTGTTGTAAGTGCTAATAAGACAATTTTTTTCTATAAAAATTACTGGATAACCTTAATATATACATTTTATCATTTGAATAGTTAAATAAATTTATTAAAATATTACTCAAACTTCTATTATGGTCTGCTGTCATGAAAGATTTCCTTCTGAACTACTCTCCACTTGATACTACAACTGAAGAGATCACATTCTGAAACTTTCCTCAAGATACATGAAGAGAAGATAAGAGTAAGATGAATTTCATTTCTCTAGTCATAATACATGAGGTATTCTCTACCTTCCATCTGGAGGCACAAAGCCATAATCCAAGGACTGAAATTTAAGCATCGTGTTGATGCTTAACAGAATCTTATGACCTGAATTAACTCCGACTGTTATCAGTGCTTACATTAAATTGCCTTAAAAAAAAAACAGGCTCTCAGAGAACCTAGTAAAAGTGGGGGTCTTTTAATTCAGACCTTGTTATCTTATGATCTATTTATAAAACAATTTTTTTAAAACTTACAGGAATAGGTCTTTGAACCATATATAATTAGAAACCAGTTATTGCGAAGGAACTTAAATATATAGTTTTTGAAATACCACATAATTAGAAATTAGTTACTAACCCAGGATGACAGCTTAAGCTTTAACATTTTAAACTAAAACTAACTTTATTAGGTATTATAAAACTCATTTGAAATGTTAATTGAAAAAAAAATCATATTTAAATTAGTTTTATTATATCTACCTTTCAACCTAACATGCTGGTTTATGCCAAAACCAACAAATTTATTAATCCTATGTTAGGCTAATTATCTTTTATACAGCTGAATAGCAAGCCAAAAAAATGATGCAATTTTGGTTAAATCATAATATATGGATAAGAAAATGGAATAGAAATTTTTTTCCATACATAACGGAATTAGAACAGTCTTAAAATTTTTACGAAAGCTCAGTAGTCAAAATAAATATTTAATAAAAATATATACCATAACAAGATATCAAGAATTTAGTGTTTAAAAATAAACTGTCACATTGTTTTGATTTCAGTTAAACAGAAGTGAATTTAGTGGTTTAAGGTATCTAAGAATGACTAAGGTGGTGGTTTTGGAAACAAAAAATTAAAATTCAGAATAGACCAGAGAGTTAACATTAAGATGAAAGAGAAATTTATTATGACCCAAAGTTTAAAGTTAGAGTTATTGGGACTTCTCAGCATGATTATGATTCAAAGAAACATGAACAGTTTGGGGAATAAAGTGAAAGAGAAATCATGATTATGTGACTTACAATGCAATACTATCAATAAGAAAAACACAAAACAAACAACCCCCCCCAACCTAGCAATATATAAAAGCACCATTAGAAATGTGTATATATGTGTGTAAAATTTTACTTACTTAAAAACTGCATTTTAGAGTGGCATTAAAGACATGTATGTAATTATGAAAATACATTCTTCAGCTACCATGTGATTTCTTAAAAAAATAGTTCATCCAGCATTCCTCCTAACCAAAGAATACAACATAAGGAAAGCTGTTTTTTTGTAGTGCAAAGTTCCTTGGTTAAACAAAATTAATAAAGATAAAAGAAGTGTTCATAAGTGAATGCATTTGAGATTTTAAATTGCAGATAAATTAGATTTGAATCCACAAATTCTAAGAGGTTTAAGAAAAAAAAAAAGTAGGCTAATAAATGAGAATTCACAGAATAAACCAGCACATGTTGGGTTTGCCCTCAAGGGAGTATCATCCAGGCCCGAAAAAATTTTTAATTGAGTACTAAAGATTATTGTGCCAGAAAAATCTTTCTTTTATAATAAAAGTTTCAAATGTGTCACCTGTAATTTAATATTTCTGCCATATTCACCCAAATTTATTAAAACTTTTATGAAACACATATCCTGGGGTAAGACACATCATTAAATGAAAATGTTCTGATCTATGTTGAGAAAGCTCATGACAGACTGTTAGGGATCCTTGATAATTTTCTGGGCTCTTGGTACAAGCAATCACATGATACAGACTTGACACATTATAAATAATAATGCTATTCACCATTTAAAATACGTTCAATCTCTTCTAGTCTTTTTAAAGCAGCAACTCTTTTCTTTTCAATTTCTTTGATGTCTTTCGTTGTTTTGTGGGGCATCTCTTTGTCTGTATTTTTTCCTAATTGTTTAGATTTAGACTGACTTTTATTATCACCTGTTTTTATTATTTGTGTTGGTCTGGATTCACTTAAAATTCCATTTACACTTTCAGTTGGAATTCTGTCTCCTTCTTCTACAACTGAAGTCTTATCAGCTGGGAATATTGACTGTTCTGCAAAACTAGACGAAGAAATTTTATCCCTGACTATACTCAAATGGCGCTGAATATACTCTTCATGTGGTGCTAATGCCAATGTTTCAACCAGGCATCTTTCAGCTTTTAGTAAGTCCTTCTCTTCAAAATAAACAACACAAAGATTGTGCTTTCCTTGCACATTGGTTGGATCCAACTCCAAAATCTTTTCAAAACACTTTTTTGCTCCATGTATATCTTTTTTCTGATTCATCAGGATATCTCCCTTTAAGATGAGGCCCTTGATATGATCAGGATAGTATTTGAGTAACTCTTCCAAAATTGGCAAAGCTTTTAATTCTTTTGCAGTCTGAGAATACAGGAGAGCAAGGTTAAACAAAGCACTTCTGAAGTCAGCTTGTAATTTTATGGCTTTCTTCATCCAAATTTCTGCTTCAGTGTCCTTGCTGTCATCCATAGCAAGCATTCCCAAGTTGAAATAGCCATTAGCATCTTGTGGCTCTTCATTTACATAGCTTAGAAGTCGTCTTCTAGCTTCTGGTCTGAGTTTAACCTCACCTAAGAATAGTATTTTTTTTTAAAGAAAAAAAATTATAATGTTGGCAAAATAAGACTGAGGATCAAAGATATTTACAAATTCTCAGATTACAAAAAGACAGCATCAAAACAATTTCTGTAGCTAAAAATAGTAGAAAGCAAAAACCTCAAAGTCTTCATAGGAAAAACATGTATTTTAAACACTGAAATGATAGTTCATTTCCTTTCCTTTAAGGCAGTAAAAGTGTTTCAGACAACAAAAATCTCATTATGAAGTCAGATCATTTTGTATGTTAGCGCAAATTTTTAGAAATATTTTACGGGAGGTAGACGAGGTGGCTCACAGCTATAATCCTAGCACTCTGGGAGACTGAGGTGGGTGGAATGCTTGAGCTCAGGAGTTCGAGACCAAAGCAAGCAAGAGTGAGATCCTGTCTCTACTAAAACCAGAAAAACTAGTTGGGTGTTGTGGCAGGTACCTGTAGTCCCAGCTACTTGGGAAGCTGAGGCAAGAGAATTGCGTGAGTCTAAGAGTTTGAGGTTGCAATGACCCATGATGCCACAGCACTCTACCCAGGGTGACAGAGTGAAACTCTGTCTAAAAAAAAAAAAAAAATTTTAAGGACAAAAATGTACCATTAAATATAAAGCTATAAAATTAAGATTTAGAAAACAAATACAGAAGAATCTCCATAGCTGGCCACCTCCGTAAACTGACCTAATATTCAAAGACTTGACATATATCACATATATGTATAAGTACGGTAGGCCTAGTTGCTTCTGTTAACCATCTCCATATACGGAACAGTTTGTTACAGTCCCTTGGTGGTCAACTTACAGAGGTCCTACTGTATTTACTGAAATAATTTCTATTGTAAATAAATGAAAAAAATTTCAGGCTTACAATCATAAAGTTTATGGTGTAATCTCCTGTGGAATAATGAACATATTTCATAGTCATTAAGGTTAGATAACTTTGCAAAATTATTAATCTCAAAATTTGTACATTTTGAAAACTAGGCATAAAGATCTCTCTCTATTCTGTTATTTGACAGCATTATGAATAAAGAAAATTTTAAAATAAATCAGCAGGCTTCTGTTCTTATCTTAGATTAGCTACTAAAGTAGCCATATAAAGTTAAGGTTTATCATTAGATCAATTTGGTTTTCACTCTAATCTAAATAGAAGACTGACAAAAATAAACTCAATGGTTTTCTTTAACTCCTAAATGCTATGATCCTATGACTAATTTTTTTTGCAAAAGTTTTAAGAAATGTATCTAAGAACTAAAATTTGTAAAATTTTCAAACATAAAAATTAAAACAAGTTATAAATCATGTACATTGCTTTGTGAAGAACAAAAATTCCTTTATAAAATACAGATCAAAGATCCAGACTTATTGTAATTAATTTAGTTTTGCTAAATTATAGGAAAGACTAAGAAATTTGAATTTTGGGCAGTGCCTGTGGCTCAAAAGGGTAGGGCACCAGTCCCATATGCCAACAGTGGCGCGTTCAAACCCAGCCCTGGCCAAAAAAAAAAGAAATGAGAATATCTCAGAAAACAGAATGAAAGTGGATACAAAATGATGCTAAGAAATACATGCTCTTGTAAATCAAAAGAAAATAGATGTTATTAAAAAACAAACAAACACATAATGCTTTCAGCTCCTAAAACCTAATTATATAAAAAATTTCGTAAGTTCATATTATTTGGGATATATATTTATATATGAAAAAGTTATTTTACAGAACATAAAATAACAGATAAAATAACAGCAGAACAGATTAATCAGGTATTGCTTGATAGACTAAGAATTAATTACTATTATTATACATGTTAGTATATGTTACTTGAAAAGAGTTGTTTTAAATATTTTTCTTTAAGTATTTTTCTGTAAGTCACTTAACCACAGTTCTGCTACAAACTATCCATCCATAAAACATTGTCTATGGGTAAGAAAGTTTAAGGTTTTTTTTTAACATTCCAAACTATAATTTGTTTAAACATAGAAATATTTTGAGAAAACATACCTGATTCTTGCATTAATATAGCAGAATTGAATAATGCTAGTTTATGCTTTGGATTTAGTTCTAAAGCATGATTAAAGTTTTTCAGAGCTTCATTTGGTTCTTTAAGTTCAATATGTACAATTGCCAAGTTGTACCAAAGGTCTGCATTATTTCTGTCCAGCTCTAGGGCTTTAAGATATGCTTCCTTTGCTTTGAGAGGTTTATTCATTTTTAAAAGCAATTCTCCTCTATGGAAAAAAATCAAACACAACCTTTACTTACAACATTATCATGTCAGTTTGTAGATAACATTTTTGACAAGTTTTAAGCTTTTCTACACACAGCTTTCTTTTCCACTTTTAACTTAGGCTCTTAAAAGCTCTCTTTTAAAATTAATTCTTTGAAGCTATTCTCAAATCCAAACTCCTTAGTTCAGCAAATGTGGCTTGATATATTTTTAAACATTAATGAAGAAGAAAAAATCCTTGCCTGAATTTAGAGGGCAAGACATGAGGAAGGTATCGAAGAAAAGGAGACAGAGAAAATACCTTCTTTGGATCTATCTTCAAAAGACACAGCCTAGACTGCATGAGAAAAATGACAGCTAACCAGAGTGGAGATTCATGAATCTGTCCGGTGATAAAGTAAAAGTATTTCAAGAAGTACATCTAAAATTGCATATCTGTTTGTACAAAGCCATTATATAAATCATTCCACTATGATTCTATTTTTCTATTAGAAAACTTAAAAGTCATTTTACTTAGAAAATATTTTTTGTTATACATGTACAAATCACATTTGAGTATATAACATGTAATTTTTATTATGATACCATTCTCTTGTATAACATCAGCTTAGGAGTAAAATCAAAGACATAATGATTAATATTCTCATTAAAGCGACTTCTCTAACTTTTTTGTTTTTTTTGCAGTTTCTGGCCGGGGCCGGGTTTAAACCCGCCACCTCTGGTATATAGGGCCAGCGCCCTACTCCTTTGAGCCACAGATGCTGCCCAGATAATGCTATTTTTAAATGAAGGTATTATTGAATAATTCTTTGTGGATCAACAAACATGACAGGACTGACTTACTGACAAAACCCAGCTAAAGTAAGTGGATTTCAGTAAGTACTAGACATGGCTGAACAAAGACCTTCTCTAATTTAAGGACAGATTTTATCTCAAAAACTATATAATTTTCCCATATAAAGGGTTATAAATGTTAAGTTTCTAAAACATGCTGCAATTTTACTGAAGTATAACATAAATAACACATAGAAAATGTATCAAGTTTCAACACATGATGCCAAGAAACTCTTTTAATGACAACCAAGAAATTTTCTTTTAGGAAAAGACATCAATAACTACTCAACTCTCTAAATTTACTTAAGAAAGCTCCTGAGAGTTGGATATCATAAGTAACCATCACAAATGTTTCAGGTATTAACTTAGATAGGAATAAATGACTTTGGTGATAAGAAAATGAAACTAAGAAAAAGTTTCTTCTATCCTTTTATATAAAACCTATGTTGGCTATCCTAGTTAAGGATTCATTTCCTTGTCAATTTCAAATCTATTAAATTTGGTGGTTAGTCTAAAACAGACTTGCACTTCTATGTACTTGGTTGTCAGGTAAGATTACTAAAAGGAAAACAAGCCAAATTAGTCAAAGTGGTCAAAATGTACATGCAGATGCAGGTTCAATACTCTAGATATGACAGCTCTCAAGTGAACAAAGATACCTGCTAATATAAGCCTGTTTGAAGTCGGGCCTCATGCTTATTGCTTGTCGGTACAGCTGATCTGCTTCTTCCAGTCGGGACTCATTTGCTCGAATCAGGTTAGCCAGATTGATATAAACATTTAGGTGGTTGGGGGCAATTCTAGCTGCATATTTTTTACCAGGAATAATCTGTTTAGAAGAAAAGACATTTTCATAATTTGATATTTTAATACCAAATAAAAATCAAAAGGACGTATTCCTAGTGGCTGATTTAAAATAACACTAAACATAAAAATTATGCTGCTAGTTTTACTACTATACCTAAAATATAACATAAAAATGTCAAAAAAGCACTTATACTATTCATAAAAATAAAAATAAAGTAATATTCTGTGGCACAGAAGGACATATTTTTTCATTCATGCTAGCTTAATGGACTATTGTTAGCTCTTTATTTATACCTAGCAGCTTTTTATCAACTCAGAAAAATTAAACATTTGGAGGTCAAGGTTTCAAGTTAGCAACAGAAGAGGAATAAAACCCAGATCTCCCACTTATTTTTCAGTCCAGTGTATATATTGTCAACTTTCATTTTGCCAGCAAACTATTTCCTGGTTGTGACAAAACAGTAGTTAATTTTATTTCAGAATTATACTGAAGATTCACATGTCTGGTGAAGTTAGGCTGTATTATAAAGTTCTCCAATTAGTTATTCAAGTTAAGTTGAATGTAATACATATATATTTGGATCCAAATTCTCAATGAACATAATAAATTACAGAACCTCCGTAGTTGACCACCCCCCTACACTGACCACCTCTTTAAGCTGACATAATTTTCATAGACCCGTCATGTAACATATGTCTGTAACAGTATAGTAGGCCTAGTTCCTTATGTTAACCATCTCCATATATTAAACAGTTTGTTACACTCCCTTGGGTGGTCAACTTAGAGAGGTTCTACTTTATATCTGAAAAACAATTTGTAACAAATACAATTTAAATTCAGCATTTCAAGACTGAAATGACTCTTAGGATGTCACATGGTCTAATTCTGTTTTTAAAAAATTTATTAAACTACCCAATTGTTATTGTTACCATTATCAACACAAGTGAGAAAGCTGTAGCCCAAGTTAAACTATCTTTTCTGATGACACAATTTCTTTGATGCCTGTGTTTTGTGGTAGGTCAAGGGCAAGAGCAAATCTTCTAAATTGATACTATAATATTATAGCCAGTGAAATCTCGTACTTGCATCATCATAATAACTAATGGATAAAATGGCAACAGATGTATCTATTAATTTTGCACTTTTATTCATTTTTTAGATAGGAATAATGCTTAATGTACAAAAAATTCTTTTCATTTAAAGTCATTTAACCTCGTCAGGTGCAGTCTGGCAGGCCGAAGTGGGTGGATGGCTTGAGCTCAGGAGTTCAAGACCAGCTTGACAAGAGTAAGACCCTATTTCTATTAAAAATAGAAAAAATACTAGCCAGGCATAGTGGAACATGTCTGTAGTCCCAGCTACCTGGGAGGCTGAGGCAAGAGGATCTCTTGAGTCTGAGAGTTTGAAGTGGCTATGAGCTAAGAGGATGCCACAATACTCTACTCAGGGCAACAGAGTGAGACTCTGTCTCAAAAAAAGAAAGAAAGAAAAAAAGATCATTTAACTCATCAAAATAACCCATAATCAAGAATACCAAAATTCATAATGTATAGACTTAGTTTATTACCATATAAGCTAAAAAACAAATTTAAAATTAAGTGAGCTAGAACAATAAATGTAATTCTTTATAAAACTTCTACTAGATGATTCATTAGACATCTTACTTGTATATCAATAAATGGAAGAAAAGGATTTTTCATCTATATATTTCTAATATAGACATTGAGCAGACATAACACAATAGATAAATTATGACAACTTACCTGAGGCATCAGTGACTTAGCCATCATGTAAGATTCTTCAGCTTCTTTGGTTCTGTTTAAATTTTTGTAAGTTCTTCCTACATTCATGTGGGCACCAATATCATCTAAAATTAATAAAACACATTTATTGGTAAATACATTAATCTAGTATTTAATGTAATCTACTGAGAAGATATATTTTTAGAAACAAAGACACTAGGTAAAAAATTCAAAAGGAGACAACAGCTCCTCCTTTCTCTTTAAAGTTCTTCTAACATACCTTGCTGTAACTTATGACCTATGGTATGCTACAAAATTACTTAAAGCACTGTAAGGACAGAAAATAGAACACATGACATGAATATTCCAACTGATCAAGACATAGGAGAAGAGAGATGAAGGAAATGAAGAAATCTACATCATCTCTCTTCACTATATTTTACTATGCTATACTAAGACTTACTTTCTTAATCTCATTAAGCTTTGGAATTCACTTCAAATGTATGGCTCAACTCTGAAATGGATCACTATGATTTTTAGAGTTATTTCAAGTACTGTACCTAACAAATATGTGCCACAGTGGGATAGGAATAAAGAGGCTGTGAAAAAACTCTGTAATTTGGCTTTTAAAAATTTTTATGAATATGGTTCAAATGAGAGTAAAACAGAGTATCAGGATAATAGTATGACTTAAGATGCTGTGGCCCTTCTCTCTTAAATGTCAGATACTTATGTCTTATTTTCTAATGTGGAAAGTAAATGCTCCAGAATATTCATTCAGGAATAGAAAAAAAAAAATACAGTTACGAGGACTCACCAAATAGTAGTTTTAAAAAAAGATATACCTCCAGTAAATATTTCAAAGTTTGGAATAATGACAGAAGGGAAAAGATCTTGAATCAGACAATTTTTACTCAACATGAATTTCTAACAGGACATGACAAGGTTTCAAATTATGATTACTACTTGCCTGTGACACCGAAGATTTTGCAATTGTGGAATAGTTCTCTGCCTGCAACTCCCAGGACACATAGGGGCCAAGCATATATATCTTGGGCATTCCCCTAGGAGGAGAGTAACAGTCCTAAGATCTTGCTACATTATGTTTCAGGCTGGCGATTGTGTGCACTGCATAAAAACTGGCAAATGCAGTGCAGGATTGGTTAGAGAACTGAGGAACAAGGTTGGGGGTAAGGTAGTTATGTTTTTCTTTTAGATTTACTGCTGAGTCTCACAGAGCCAGGAGGAGGTCAAGCAAAAAAGTGCTTGGGCTAACCATTCCCAATCCTGGCTGCAAATCAGTATAGTTTAAAAAAATTCAGATAGCTTGGCCACACCCAGCTCTACCAAAACAGAATCGTCAGAAATGGTATTTGCAAAAACATGTTTGTAAAAATTTTCAAAGACCAATTCTGATATAGAGCCAGGAATGAAAAATCATTGCATTACCAAGTATATACAAAAATATACAGTATAGTAATCAGATCAGAACAATCAAATAAATCCATACATTTGTTAGAGAAATCAGAAAATTATTTAGAAAAATCTAAGGATAAAATCTGAAGGATAAAATCTAAGGATAAAATCTAAGGAAAAATCGGCGCCCGTGGCTCAAGTGGCTAAGGCGCCAGCCACATATACCTAAGGTGGCGGGTTCGAATCCAGCCTGGGTCCGCCAAACAACAATGATGGCTGCAACCAAAAAATAGCCAGGCGTTGTGGCAGGCACCTGTAGTCCCAGCTACTTGGGAGGCTGAGGCAGGAGACTCGCTTGAGCCCAGGAGTTGGAGGTTGCTGTGAGCTGTGGTGCCAGGGCACTCTACCCAGGGGGATAGCTTGAGGCTCTGTCTAAAAAAAAAAAAAGAAAAATCTAAGGATATATAAAATCTGAAAAAATAAATTATATATAGAAGAACAAATAAACTGAAAATGTGAATGAAAGTATTGAGTTATGCCAGCTGAGTTCTTAAAATGTTACTGAAATTAGCTCCAACCAATGTCAGAAAAGAAAGAAGTTATCTATTTAGGTAAATGAGGCAAATTACTACCCAGTGGAATCAAGTTCTTAGAATTATAGCAAGGAAATATTGTCATTAATGTACACTTCAGATAGTAAAGCAGGTCTAATGTCTCAAAGAACAAAAACAGCAATTAGATATCCGTTAGCATCAAAAGGCTACTCAACACAGCTAATATAATAAAAGATGTAATTTCTACACACTTCTTTGTAAGTTACAAAGTTTTAAGATTCTGGAAGGGAAATAGTGTTACTTCTCAGGTAAATTTGTATTTGAAAAAATGTAAGAGAAAAGGCAAGATGTAAAAATCTATGACATTTAATGACGAGAGGGCTAAAAGAATTTCAAAGAACAAGCTCACTCTTACAAATACATTATCCAAACCAATAGCATGACTTAATCATTTACCTTTAATTCAATGTAAATGAGGATCTCACAAATCTCAAATGTACCCTTCCTCTGTCAGTGCCACTTTCTAGAACCTTTATTAAGTACTTTACTCCTCCTTTCTTGTCAAAACATCTGATTTTCACCAAGAAAACAAAAGAAGGAAACTTGCCTGGCATCCTACTGCCAAAGCTATCAACTCACCTGCGTGTGCGCTTGTGTTTGTAATGCTAACACACACCTCCCTATGCACACATGCACACACACATCTCCTTTCCTTCCTACACGTCTTCTCTGATCTAAGGCCAACCAGTCTAGTTACACACTGCATTAGATTCCCTTTCCACACTTAAGGGTTTGTTCATGCTATTATCCTGCCTACCCTGCAATACATCCTACTATTGCTAATAGGAGCAATCTATATGGTAAATCTCTTTGAAAGAGTTGTTTATATGAAGGTCATTATGAAAGTTCTGAGAACATGAAAATCAAGAAATGTAAGATCTGTGTAGACAGAAACAAAATAAGCCCTCCCACCAACACCCATAAGCCAAGCAAGTTGAAACTTGCAGGGGAGAATCAGAGAGGACGGGCACTGTCTACTATGCTTCTTCAAAGTGAAATAATGGACCACATTATTTGTGGATGTTTTTTAAGTTTCTTGATTTTTGTGTATCTCAAAATTTTTACAATGAGACCTATGTTTATGTTCTATTTGTACTTCCTTATTCCCAAGAAATTCATGGACAGAATTCAAGAGGTTTGTGAACTTGGAAGGGAAAACAACTGCATTTAAATTTTTCTTAACTTCTACTACAAAGTTTGAATTTTCTCCAATTAGAATCACAGGTACCAAATCCCAGTAGTATCTGCAGTACCTTGACTTTACCATATACCACCAAATCACAAGAGTTTTCACATCATGTTGCAATTGTTGCAGGTATCTTGAAATTCAGTTTTTACTCACTATCCCTTTGAAATGATAACATTTATTGGACACTGGCAATCTCACTCATACTATCTATGGATATACATGTGATGTAGCCGGTAAGTATCTGGCATGAATGGTGTATCAAGTGTGTATGACTAATAATACTTCAGACACAAATAATATTCTCATACTGATGGCTCTGATCACCTATGTTGTTTACTAAAGATAAGGTTTTAACTTATAAAGTCCATTTCAATGTAAATTACATTATTCGTAGACTAAAAAATGAAAACGTTACCATCTCAATTGGTATAAAAAAAGCACGTGAAAAAATGTGACACCCATCTGTGATAAAATTCTCAACAAACCAAGAATTAAAAAAGAGACACACTACATGAGGGACTCTAACAAATGCACACATTGTAACCTAGGTGTTTTTAATCTGAAATTAAAAAAAAAAAAAAAAGAAAGGGACAGGAACTCTCTTATACTGCTGGTGGGAATGGAAAATAAAATACATTCTTTAAAAAGCAATTTGGCAGGGGTGGCGCCTGTGGCTCAAAGGAGTAGGGCGCCAGCCCCATATGCCGGAGGTGGCGGGTTCAAACCCAGCCCCGGCCAAAAAATGCAAAAAAACCCAAACAAACAAACAAAAAATTTGGCAGTCTTTTAAACAGTTAAACATATACAAATCATAAGACCAAGCCATTCTTCTCCTTGGTTTTTGACTCAAGAGAAATAAAAACAATATCCACACAGACTGGCCTGTGAATGTTCATAATAGCATTATTTGTAACAGCCCCAAACTGCAAATAATCTAAACATCCATCAACAGGTAAATGGATAAATGACTGTGGTATTTCCACATGAAGGAGTACTACCTAGCCATACAAAGGTATGGTTTTATGATTCATACATCATTAATGAGTATCAAAATACGTACACAGAGTGAAAAAGCAAGGAGGAAAGCGTGCATAGGGTATGATTCCATTTACATAAAATTTTAGAAATAATGCAAGTACCCTACAGTGTTAGAATGGAGGCCTAGTTTGGCTGGAGCAGGGATGAGCAGAAAGGGGTAGAGCGAAGTACTACAAAGGGATACAAGGAATTTGGGGAGCTAATGGATATTTTCATTATCTTGAGTCAGGTAATGGTTTTATGTAAGGGCATATACACAGGCCAGAATTTATCAAATAAACATTTCAAACATGTATTCTCTATTGTTTGTCACTTGTACTTTAAGAGAGCTATTTAATAAAATAATAATTCAACCATTGCTTTGGGTTACTGAAAAGCCTTCTAAACGGCCTTCCTGCTTTTTTTACTATTCTCTGCATAGCCAGTGATCCTAAAAGTTATCTACATTAAAGTACATTTCAATACTTGCTCTCTTAACCTGTCACCTCTGTCAAATGCTAATTTCCCAGAGCATTCCTCTGACTACTGTTTCAAATCTTGTCTCATTTTTAACAGCTTTTTATCACTTTTGTGTAAAATGTGTGTGAGGATATGCAGGTGTATATGGATTTCACATGCATACTCACTCACTTATTGTCTATGCCCTTACTTAGAATGGGTATTCAATGAGTCAGGAAATTTGTTTTATTTAGTGGTATGCCCAGCACTTAAAACAGTGCCTAAGACATGATGAATTCTTAAATACACACGCCTGATGAAGAAATAAACCTACAGAACCATTTGCTATTTATTCTCTTTTCAAAAGCCTTTCCCCCTGAATTCTGTATCTTTTATTTGACCTCCTTTCCTCATTTCAGTGAAAACAATGCCATTAAAACTTATCAGTTCACATTTATTTAATATACATTCATTGGCTAGAAACTGGCCTAAGTCTTTTACAATCAGTATTCAACATAATCCATACAAAAGAATGGAAATATTATTCCAAATTTGTATATAGAAAACTTAGGATGACTGAATTTGATAAAAGGACTGTGATGCCAGAATCTAAACTTTTAACCAACTACACTACCCTTCTCTTTTTAGCCCTACCCTGATCACTGTCTTTCCCTTTTCCAACATGCAGGCCTAATAATACAGTAAAATAACATGTCATATCATCGGTCAAATTCATCTAGGAAGCACACAGCTAAAGAACAAGGAATAAGAAGCCACTGAAGGCTACATCCAATGTTTCTAAGTTTATATACTTTATAATAAATTCTAATAAACTGGTTTACCTGTTTCCCAGTCCTTTGCTTATCAGAAATAGCAATTTTGAAAATGTGATAGTGAAGTCGTATTAAAAGAGATAGGTTTAGCATATACCTTAAAAACACCAATGAGTGATTACTGATAATAAAATGGATAATTGTTTAAATATTGAGTGTGTATACCTGCAACATTCTGTGTAAGGCACAATATTGACTAGACAAAACTCAACATGTACACACATACCCAAGCACACACTTAATTCATAATTCACAACAATGCTGTGAGATAGATATTATTATCCCAATTTAGAAACAAGGACGAGTGCAGTGGCCTAAGGAACTTCTTCTAAGTCTCAAAGTCCTTATGTGGTTGACATCAAAGATGACTCGGTTCTGCAAAAACTTTTAGAATAAATCTAAAAGACTTTAGAAAGTAAAAAATTAAAACGACTGCACTTAGTGACTGCTAACTGTGTATAAGGATTCTACTAGACTATGCAGAGGGCACAAAGGTGAATCAGATACCTGGGCTGCTCTAGGAAGTTCCACAGCTTAAAGAAACATTTTAAATAATTAACATTTAAGACAAGACAGTATAGCACTAAATAAAAAATTACAGATATAGAAAAGATATAGAAGAAGCTGTAAGTGGTTTTACAGATTAAAAAAAATTGCTTCTAGCTAGAAAGATAGTTAAGATCTTTTAGAAGAGAAGCCATGTGAGAGGGGCTGCAAAAGCTGACTAGGTTATAATGGAAGGAGGAAGAGAGAACAGAACAATTCCAGTCTCAAGTAAGGATATAAACATAGGTCCAGAAGTAAGCAGCATGGGACATGTACTCATGTACTCCATATTCTCTGCAAGACTAAACTACATGAAGGACTGTGGGAGATAAAATTGCATCAGTTATATTTCTGAAACTTTTTCTTTACCTTTAGTTGAAACTTAGCTTTGTCTTGGAGTCATGGTTACGCTCTAGCTCATCCAAGTGGTGACTGTGTTGTTCTTTTTCAAGGAGGTGTTCTCCTTGATCCCTGTAGCCACTTTTGGACAATTTTCTTTCCTTTTAAAAATCACTCATCTCTGAATCTCTACCATTCCTCTTTGGTGCAGTCACTGATCCCTGTACCACAGTTCCTGGCTGCCCATTTCTCTCTCCAACATCACATTTGTCAAAATTCTCAATCACTTCAAAATTCACATTCATTAATCTAATACCGTGGCCTTGATGTGCTTCCAATGACTCCCTCCTACCGTAACGAGTTAGTTCAACGGCCATACTTACTGTAAAAAATTGGGGTAGTGCCCAACACTTTGAGTATATTTGGTAATGGGGCTAATTTCCTTTTTGGTTGCCACTCTGAACGGAAAGTAATGATGGTATTTGATAGACTACCAAATTTTTGCTGCTCTAGCTACACAAAGAATTGTGGATTAACTATCACCTAGAAGCTCATCAGAAATGCAGAATTTCAGGCCCTACTTTAAACCCACACCAGAATATACACTGTAAAAAGATTTCCAGGTGATTTAAATGCACATTAATCTCCAACGTTTTCTTCTCCTTACTCTCTGTTTTACTTTCTATTTCTGAGAAAACAGATGCACATAGAAGACAACTTCCAGAAGTTTTCTTCGCATCAATTCCTCACCTACCTAGATCCACATCACTACACTGTGCTTTCCCTGTTACCATAGGTTGACTCTCAGTCCTGTGATTAAAACAAGTTCTCAGCCTTTCCAGATCTTATCTATCTCATCTATTCAAGGACATAGATCCAGTAATTCTCCCCTCTACCTACATTATTGATTTTCCTAACTTTACTAGATTAGCCCCAGATATTCTTTGTTTCACCCATTTTAAAACAAAAAATTGCCCTACCATCTTCTTTTGACACCAAACCAAGTACTACCACCATTTTTTATCAATAATCCTTTAAAAAAAACTTTCTGTGCTAATTGTCTTCAATTCTTCTTCTTCTTCTACTCTCTTAAATTACTCCTAGCAGGCTTCTGCACCCACCACTCTACTAAAATCCTTCGCCTAACAACTCCATGTTTTAAAAAAAAATTCCTTAAACATCTGATATAAATGGCTCTTATATATAACCCTAGACAAAATAAGGGGTATGACACACTAGTATGTAAGTTATTTGGAATAAAGCTCAAAATAAACTCAAACTTATTTTCCTCAAATACAGTTTTTAAGAAATCAAACTATTCGTCAATTTATTAATTAATAATGCTTACCTGGCTGAACATGGGTAGCCTGTAAGAAGTATTTTAAAGCTTTTTCAAAATTCTTTTCATTTTCCAAAGCATGACCCACATTATTCCATAGTTTGGCATTATTTTTATTTACCTTAAATGCAAGTACAGACAATAATTAAGTTATCATTTAAAAAATATGACTCTAGTTCACATAGATATTTATTTGGTATATTATTAGAATGAAATGTTCCAAGGAGATATCCTTGGGGGATAAAGAAGCAGCCAAATATAGACTGTTTCACCAAATTAACTTCCTACCCGATCCCCAAAAGGCAACATACCAAACCCACAGCAGTATGATTTCACCCATTTCACATATTAAAATTTTACTAAAAAATTTTTTGAACAAAACACTGTGCTGTTTGAAAACGTCAGCTCTACTATTTGTATTCTTACAAGAGATGGTATTGGAACATAAGTATATGATTAAACATTGTACTCATGACTTACTTTTAGGTTTGACATATTTAAAGCTATTCACATAGTCCTTTATGGTAATAGAAACCCTGAGATTAAAGTTCTTAGCTAATTTGTATATCCTGAATTCACAGATTAGTATGGTGTTCTTTCAGGTACAGGATAGCACCCAGCTCAGGAAGTACCTGCAGTGACTGGGGCTACAGGTTTCAACCACTGCCTTGGGAGTGAGCATAAACAAAACTCCCCACAATTACAAAGCTCCACTGGTATCCTAGGACTGTGGATTAAAAGCATGGCAATGAGGTCTCACTTGTCCACAGAATTCTGAGCAGGGGGCAAGAGTAGAGCAGTGAGTGGCACATGAGGAGAGTCATTCAATCTCAAGTAGATACCAAATTAAGAAGTCTATCAGAACTAGGCAGCAATCCCACAAAGCTAGGCAATGGACAGTAAAGAAAGCCAAAGGAAGCAAAAATTTAGACACTGGAAGAGGAGTATTGGTAAAGGAGAGCTCAAAAGTATCTTTGTTGATAACTTTTATAGAAAACAATTTGCATTTTTCAAAACCTTTTTTTCTGAATTACATCATCCATTCTATAGAAATGCTAACTCATTCTTTTCTGCAAGTTCCTATCTTTCTCATAGTACTGTAACCATTGGTTATGGTCTACATAGCAGGGTGCCACTTTTTGCTGTATATTTTATTTTATCGAATTGAAGATACCATCAATTATAAGACTCACCATTACTTTATATACCATTAAGAAAGAAAAAACGGATCAATAATTGTTAGATGACTTTTCTCTATGCGACTTCTGATTTCAGAAAAGTTAAAGGTAAAAATATTAATATTATAAATATTAAATATAAAAAAGTAAAACATATACACCTTAAGAACCAATGGAATACAGTATTCTAATTTAAACAGTTTATCATTTGAGTTTTTAACTGTATAGCATTTAGGGACTTATTCACATATGCTTAGGACATACAGCTAAGTACTATTTGAAGCATTTGACTACAACCTGTATTACATAATGCAAAAGCAAATTATTTTCATTAATCTTTGGTGATCTAAGTATAAGTAAAGTTAAAACAGCTTAGAAATAGCTACAGTAAATCACTGATGACATGGTCTTCTGTCATTCTGAACAATACTTTACCTTCAAGGCTGACATGAACAATGTATATTCAGACTCCCAGTCCCAATTTCTGTGGAGTGTTTTCAAGGCATGGGTGAGTATCACCACAGACAGACAAACCCAGGACAGCTTTTTTAAAACACTGTTTAAGAGAAAAAAGTAAAACAAAAAAAAATTGTCTGCATTACCCAAAGTATTTTACCTGTTAAAACTGAAGTACTAAATATGTTAAATGGTCCCAAGTACCATGTCTGAATTTATCCTAATTCACTCTAATGATCATCCAATTTTTGAGAAAATACCAAAAAATTAAACATTCTGAATTTGATCTTCCAATTCAGCCTTCAATTACATTATATATACAAATATTTCCCTCTATTTCAAAAGCTTTGTTCAGATTAAATGTCAACAAATTGAGGAAATCAGTTTTTAATTGTGACTTCTTATACATGAATTTAGTCTTTGTTCCTACAATTTGAGCATTCTCAATTGAGTCTACAAATGGTTAGTCTATCACTGGCTCTATTATAAAATGTCTTTGCCTACTGTTTATACTATAGACTATCAAGATATCCTTGGAAGAATTTTGTATTTAAAGCTAGAATTTTTTTATTAAAAGGCATAATAACATTCTTTATAAAACAGGTGCAAATTAACTTTATAACTTTAAGCCTACTGAGACTTAATTCTTCATTTAGAAAAAGGAAGTTATCCTACAATAATCTTTATGATCTCATTAGTATTAATATTATCTTAGTCTACGTTTTTGCTCCTATAACATGGTTCAATTAATTTCTTTCATTTTTGACAGATCCACTTAACCAGAGTATGGATTAGAAAGAAAACGGTAATTGGAAATAATGCAAATTTGAATCAGGACTGCTTACTAGCTATGTGACCTTGGGTAATTTAGGTTAACATCTGCAAAATAGTTAAGGTATACCAAAATTAAATCAGAAAACAAATCTGAAGTATCTATCATGTCACCTTGCATATGGCAGGCACTTAAAAATTGGTAGTGATTATAATTTGATATATGAGTAGGAGCTAAGAGAAAAGATTTGATAGTTTGGAAGTGATAGTTGTAGACATGGAGTAGGTCATCTACAGAGTACATTCAGTATGAAAAAAATGGCTGTGAGTAAAACTCTGAGAAATATAAATACTCAAAGAGCAGGCACAACAAGAAGAATCTGTGCAGAAATGAACAGATATGGAAGAGAATCTGGAGAAAGACATTTTATTTATTTATTTATTTTTTGAGACAAAGACTTATTTTGTTAACCTGGGTAGAGTACCGTGGTGTCATAGTTCACAGCAATCTCAAACTCCTGGGGTCAAGCCATCCTCTTGCCCCAGCCTCCTGAGTAGCTGGGACTACAGGTGCCTGCCACAATACCTGGCTATTTTTTGCTTTTGCTCAGGCTGGTCTTAAACTCAGGAGCTGAAGCAATCTACTGGCCTCGGCCTCCCAGAGTGCTAGGATCACAGGTGTGAGCCACCGTGCCCTGCCCCAGAAAAAGGCATTTTAAAGCCATCAGAGACATAAAAACATTTTTAAAAAAGTGTTGACTGAATTTGGCTATAAGGAAGAAATTTGTTACATTTGTTAACAGAGTGACATAGAGAAGTCAGAATTCTGTGGGTTGAGGAGTGACTGGAAAATGAGAAAGTGATCATTTCTTTCACAAGTTGCAAACCCAATTTTAATATTATTCCATTAGTATTGCTAGACTATAGCAACTTGTTTGATTTGATAATTTTAATACCATAGAATATGTATACAATGAGATAATACGTATCACCATTACAGTTTCTAAGCACACATACAGTGTGATGATGCTGTTCCTTAACTCTTAGAGAAAACTTGGACTCAAGATTCAGATGAAGGTAGTGGTAACAGCAAGAAGTTACAGATTGTTTATATGCATTTTACATATACTAATTAACTCAATATGACTCGGTTAATAGGATGACTATTATCTTAGTTCATTGTATACGAAAGTGGCAATGGTCACTTGTAACTTTAGTCTCAATTAACATCTGTTTTCATTTGGTTTTGACTCAGTTTGTTCTGACTTAGGCTATAAAATAAAGTTATATAAAAATGGGGAAGAACACAGATGAGTAGGTGCTATGGAGCTTTCCTTATGTGACTTACAAGACAAAAGAGGAGAATATGGAGAAGAAAACCCAAACATACTAAAGTATGATTTATAAAAAACACTAAAGTATGACTTACAAAACTGAACTAAATACAGATTTCAAGTATCTGAATGTTTCATACTTAATTCTATATAGTTCGTATGCATGAAATAAACTAAAATTTTAATTCACCTTTTGTTTGATATTTTCTGCCATCCATGGGCTACCAAAATACAGAACCCCATGCTAGGAACATATAATACTCGCTCGGCAACAACAAATCCAACTGGAAAAAAAAGGTTTGAGGCAGGAATAAATGGTAATGCCATTAAACAAAGTGCCTAAAAAGAAAAAGAAGATAATTTAATTAAAAATACATAAATGCTTATCTTTCAAATCCATGTATTTTATCATTTAATTTGAATAATGTTCTGGTGGATTATTTTTATTATAAAGAATATTAATTTAAACATAAAGAAGGCAACTCAGGAATGATAACAACAAACATGAGGATGTATATAGCAAGATGAGGTGGAAGTCCTCCTGAATTCTAGAACTTAGAGAGGAAATCTATGAGTGTGCTTAGAAAACATGATTCCTAGGTATGCTTACGAATGATTTCTTTCTGAAATGAAAATATGAACTCTTATACCATTTTAAATTTGAAAAGCATAATCAGCTATACTTCACTTCACTGGTTCTCTGTGAAGAATATAACATGCTTGCATAGTAAAATGTAAAAACTTTAATTAATAAAGGTAAATATTTACATCTTTAAGCAAAATTGAATAACAAAGGTTTCATCAGTTAAATAGGAAATATTTTTTGAAATTATATCTAAAATAACACACTCAAACAATTCACTGTAAGAAACAAATGACCTGATTTAAAAAAAAAAATGGGTAAAGGTGTTGAAAGCATTTCAAATTGTATGTAAAACCAGCACATTGCACCGCATGATTGCATTAATGTACACAGCTATGATTTAATAAAAAAAAAATGGGTAAAGATGTAAATAGGTATTTCTCAAGAAAAGATATACAAATAGCCAACAGGCATATAAAAAAAAAAGGCTATTAAAAAGACAGGGAACTCTTCCACCTGGCTATTGGTGATTGCACAGCTATTATGGGAAACAGCACAGAATTAAAAAACTAAACACAGAACCCCCATGATCCATCATTCTCACTACTGGGCATACATCTATTTAAAGGAAATGAAATCAACATGTTGAAGAGAGATCTACGTTCCAAGTTCACTGAAGCATTATTCAATTCACAATAGCTAAGATATGGAACCAAAATCTAAGCGTCTACCAATGAATGACTGAATAAAGAAAATGTATTTTTATATATATATATATATGTACTATAGAATACTATTCAACTTTACAAAAGAAGGAAATCCTTTCATTTGCCACGTGGATAAACCTGGTAGACATGCTAAGTGAAATAAGCCAGGCACAGAAAGACAATACAACATGATCGCACTTCCATGTGGAATCTAAAAAAGTTCAACTCGTATTAGTAAGAGTAGAATGGTAGGTAGTTAAGGGAAGGGAAGAGGGGGAGATACTAGTCAAAAGTAGTCAAAAGTTCTAGTCAGATAAAAGGAATAAAAAAAGGGAAGAGGGGGAGATAGTAGTCAAAAGGGAAGGGAAGAGGGGGAGATACTAGTCAAAAGAGTCAAAAGTTCTGTCAGATAAAAGGAATAAAAAATAAACGAAATGTTTGCTAATCTAACTTATGTGCATGGGGTAAAAACAAAATAACAGGGTAAGATGTTAAGTTTTTCGACAAAAACACCAAGTTTAGAAATTAGCCAATCATGTCAGTTTTATAATGTTATTAATATAAGAAACCAGACAGTATAAACTGGAGGAGTGAAATAAGGTGACAACAGCAGGTCATTGCCTCTAGACCACAGCATTCACATGGATTTAGCTAGAAGCTTAGTATATGTACAAAAATAAAACTATTTCCTCCCCTGAAATCAACAGTGTTTTATTCTGTAAAGAATTTCTAAAATTATGACACTGTACACTGAAATAAAATATCACAAAAATATTTAGATTCCTTACTATTTGGAAAATGGGATGACATGTGGTTTCCATATCACAAAGCCACAAATCATTAGCACACAGAAAGGTTCTAGAAGGAAATAAGTTTGGTCATCATCAGGCCATCTGTTTCTGTGTTCTACCCAATTGAATAAGCTAATCCTTCAGTTTCAGAAGTTTAGACTCTTCAAATGTGTTGAGGGGAGAGAATCATCTTTTTAAATTATACATTCTTAGGAAAGTATAGATGTAGAGTTGTATATAAGTTGAAAAAAATAATGCCTCCATAAATGTTCACACATGTTATGAGATAATGAAACTGAGGAAGACCACTACCATCAAATGACTTAGTATGATACCAATATTATGTCTGAAATTTTAGTGTTTTTTAAAATAAAAATGGTAGAAAATAAATTCGGAGTGCATATAATTCACTTTCTATTCCCAAAAATGCTTAACAGAAATAACCACCCACACGTGAAACTGATAAAGACATGTTCCTAAATCTGCAGTTCTATTAAAAATGAAAAAATCCCATAGTAATTCATGGCTGCTCTAAAGCAATGAATGTTAAATTCATTCAAAGGTGTATTACAGACTGATGCATAAACTACACAAAGACAGAAAAACACTATTTCAGGAAAAATCTACTCGTTCTGGGATAAGGAATGTCTCTAAAGAATAACTTACAGGTAATATGATCCCTAGTAAAGTATTATAACCTAGTTAACTATCACTAACTTATCATTTTCTTCCTCTAGGAATGTAAATGGTTTTTTAAAGAAAAGACGCTAGTAGAAAGAAGAAAAAGTCTGAGACAAATCTGTTTTACTTCTTACTTCTTACATAACATTAGGTAACTACTTGATCACTTTGAAACTATTTCTTTATAGAGTAACAACTACTTACATTATGTTAAGATACAAATGACATCCTATCTAATAATTGCTTGGTATGTATCTGTCTTGGTAGGTACTCCTTTGCTCTACTCATCCCTTCCAGAGATCTTCAGACAATACTACCATAAAAAAGTAATATGTTTAAGACTATAGTTAAAGCAGAGTTATGCTCAAGGTCATAACTGTTAATTTTTTATATACATAAAATAGTGTATGTAAATCTGTTTATTTCATTATTTTTTACCCAGTTTATGTTATATACACCATTATTTTACTTGATGAAACTTTAATTCCCTTACCTCTCCTTTCAGAAATCTTCTTTCAGCAGAACTCCAGCTTTGGATGTATTCTACCATTTATCTATTTTATCTGTATTTACCAAAGTAGCAATAAGCTGGTAGACAAAGTCCCAAAGCCAAATAGAGTAGTTTCATCAAAAATGCATGATTACCAAGTTCAAACTGACACTTAAGACTGATTAGGACTTCTAGGTTTCTCAGGTAGGTTTGACCTGTGATTGTTTTAAATCTTGACTACTTTTTTCAAACTTCTGACCTGTATCACTTTCAGCAGGCAAACATACTTCCTAATACACAGAGAGAGTTCAAGCCATAAAACAAGAATTCCTACAATTCCCTGTTAACTTAAACCTACCAACATCTGCATTCATTTCATTTCCTTTCTTCTTGTAATGTTAAGCGGAGTCTCTTCAACCTGAGGGCGAGGGCAAACAAGCTTGTGCTCTCTATCCCCCGTTCCTCACAAACCAAAAATTCTCTCTTCTCTCATTTATTATTGAATGAAATTTTATTGAATAAACTTTCTTATCAACTATCTTCTCCCTACCTACATTTAAACATGCTCTTGCTTCTCCAACCTTAAAAATCTTCTCCTTTCTCAATGTATCTTTGGCCTACCTTCCTCACTAATAATATTGCTCAGGTATAAAACAAGTTCTCACAATCTTAGGAAAAGATTTTTGTAGCCATAGTAACAAGTAGCTAAGTAGTTTTAAACCCACTTAACCAATTCACATTACAACTTAATGAATTCGTTTTTTTCAAGCCAACCTATTAATGATATTCCTTTGCTTCTAAAAGCCAGCCAATTCATACTTTGATAAAAATGCTTCTAAATACCAATTTATCCTCTTCCTGTCATCGACTCGCTTCTATCTTTGAAGGTCCATCAATTTTATTTTATTTTATTTTTTTTTTGAGACAGAGCCTCAAGCTATCCCCCTGGGTAGAGTGCCATGGCATCACGCTCACAGCAACCTCCAACTCCTGGGCTCAAGCGAGTCTCCTGCCTCCGCCTCCCAAGTAGCTGGGACTACAGGCGCCCGCCACAACGCCTGGCCATTTTTTGGTTGCAGCCATCATTGTTGTTTGGCGGGCCCAGGCTGGGGATTCGAACTCGCCATCTTAGGTGTATGTGGCTGGCGCCTTAGCCGCTTGAGCCACAGGTGCCGAGCCCGGCCATCAATTTTAGATACCCATGCTTTCCCTAAGCTCTACATAAGGTCAGCAGTCTGTTATACTTGAAGCCAGTGGCTAACCTGCATAGCCGTCTGTTAGGGAGGAAATACATTCAAGTTCATCTCATCTTCTGAAATTGTTAAAGTTAAACTGTCCCTATATAGGTTATCTACATTAACTATCTGCATTTTCTCATCAAGTTACTCAATCCAAAGAAATAAATTTTGTAGCTAACAAATTTAAGTAACTAACAGACCTAAAAGTGGCCAAGGCCAAAAGACATCACTTTTCAACTAGATCTCACTTTCTGAGTCAACAGCATCTGTTAATGTTAACCACCAGACTTATTTGTGTGGGGCCTCTCTCTATCTCCCTCAGGCTGGAGTGCAGGGGCATGACCATAGCTCCCTACAGTCTGAAAATCTTGGGCTCAGCCTCAATCTTCTGAATAGCTGGCATCACAGGTGTGACTCACCCCATCTCTGCATTCAAGCTTTCTTAAAACACTTTCCTATATTTCTTTTTATTTGTTCTGTCCCTTATTTAGGGTTCCTTCTCTTCCACATCTAAATATGGCAATTCCTCAAGACTACTTTTAGGCTTCCTCTTTTTTCACTGTATTTAGCCCTCTCAACTGTTCTCGGGGGTGGGGGGAAGGACTAAGAACAAATACTCTAAGGTATGCAGGTAAGGTGTGAGTGTAGATTAACTCCTATCATGTAGAGTATTACTCGCCTGTAATCATCTTTGAGAGAATTTCCAAATCCTCATTGAAAAAGGTTTGAGAGAATTTCCAGATCCTCACTGAAAACTCCAGACATGAAGTACTGTTCAGAATCTCTACCAAGATGTTTCAAAGGTACCTCACAATCAACATATCAAGGATAACAGTAAATATGATTTTTCCCTCAACTATATATTTTTAATCTTTTCTATATCCCACACATTCTTCCATCTTTTCTGCATCTCAGATACTCAAATTTACCTAGAATGGAAGCTCTCCAGAAAGGAGTGTTTTCTATTTCATTTTACTACTATATAATCAGTGCCTAAAATGCCTGGTACTAAGGTCGCAGTCATACATTTTTATTAAATGAATCTTATGGCTGTAGCCAGAAATGCAAAGCATTAAATATACTTTATGACATATAGTAAATGTTTGAGAAAATGGAAGAGAAAACAGAACTCTCATGACTGAGAAGTGAGGCAGAGTAAGAAAACTAGAAAGAAATAGTTCAGAAAGGGAAGAACTGATTATTCAAATCATCAGTTTCTGAAAATAGCAGGAACTACCTCAGTGTGTAATGAAAACCTTGCTAAGGACAACAAAATCCTATGCATTTCTAGCTACATGTCTGATATGACACTTTTTTTTGTGCCAGGAAAACAAATATACAATATGACCCATTTATTCAAAAAGTATATAATCTAATGCAAGTAAAAAATACAAGAAAATGAACCCAAAACAAATGCTTCAAGATTTCAGAGCACCTACCAAATTAGGAAAATTCACAATCAATTTTCATTTTACATGTTCAATGTGTATGTCAAATTATGCTCACAAACTAAACTGATATATAATTTTAGGATAATCTAAAATAAGTGCATAAATTGGGATACTACTGAACAAAGAGAGACACTGCTACTAAAAAGATACTTTTGATGAATTAACGGTACTTTCTGAATCAACGTAATGGTATCTGAAAAGTTAACATTTCTTACCATTAGAACTGTCTTGGAAGAATCACCAGGGTATCGGAGACTAAATACTCCCAAAGCCCCCAGAAAACAAAAGAAAGTAAATGTGGCCAGATTTCGAATGTCCAGTAATGATTCTATAAGTGGTATTGTTCCCATGGTCCAATCACAGCAGAGCTCTGAAGGGTTTAATAGAAGCCAAGCATTCACAGGAAGGAGGTAGTTAAAAGTTAGCTGCCTTGTAGGAGTTGGGCTTACAGCAGCTGGGTTATCAAATCTGTATAAAAAATTTAAAACAATTATTTACAATACTATTTAACATAAAATGAACATATGGCATTTATAAATAAAATACTGAACAACAGAAAAAGCAATCTTTTGTATGTAATCTTGTTACCTAGAAGACACATACTTTATGGGTACCTCAGACTCTTTCTAGAGTTCCATCTAAACTTTTGAAATGCCTAGTTAAGAGAAAGTGATATTTATAAAGAACTGTTTAAAGGGCAAGCAAGTCATCTATTTCCAGTTTATTATTAGGCAAATTCAGACATGCATACTATAATATTATGACACTATGCAGAAGTGTTTTTATTAAATTATGACCTTCTGATGAAAAGTAGTAACAAGAAGTTTTATAAGATCCATTATTGTATGTGTTACATGAATGCTTTTGAGAACACTCACTCAAGTTTTCCTACATGAGACATTTCTTTTAGAGATAAATCCTAGTAAAAACTGTGGTTCCTCAACAGGATTAGTATGCTTTTCTCCTATAATTGACAGAGAAAACATATCACCTAGGAACTTTCCCTCTTTGCTTTGACTCCTAGGAAGCTAAAAATCAAATTTCAGTATAAACTAGTAACTGTTTAGGCCTACATAACATCTTATTTACATTCTACTTTTTTCCCTAATATTTATTAATATAACCTTTTATCCTAGTTTATCTTTCCCCAGGTCATGCTATATTAAATATATATTTCATTCGTTTTATCTATTTCCTGTAAACAAAGTCAAATCATTTTTTAGAAGTATATTTCAAATGAATAGTCTTAGATTTTTATTTTTTTATTCTATGTTCCAAATTTTATTGTCTATATTAATATACACTCTTTTAAAAACTCTATTTTCCATTTTAAAATGAATTAAGTCAAAGAAAAATCAACTACCACCACTTATTTGACTTGATTTTCTGAAAGAAACCAAATGGGTGAAAAAAAGTAAATACCTTTTAGAATGAATAATATTTCAAATTTTTTCATATTTGAATCTCTACATAGTTTAAAAATAACAAATTTGAGCCTGTACATAAATTTTCAAAATAATCAGAAGTGAATATAAATCTATCTTTTTTCCTACAATCCACTGTTCAGAATTTAGTTTTTAAAATTAAAAGTTTATTTAGGATACCTGATTTAAAGATAGTGTTAATGGAACAAATAAAATCATATTACAGTCAAGTTCACTGGGTTATATAAAAGAATTTAGACTGACACACACACACACTCTCTTACTTTTTAATGCCTTAGGAGAACATATACTTACATGCTAAAAGCACCATGCACCCACCCATACATACATTCATTCACTTCTAAAGATCACAATTTCAGACTGCAGAAATGGAAATTAATTGATTTAAATTCTCTATAAGGAACAATAACAAAACAAAACCATTAAAAGTAAGGGGTGAAGGAAATAGAAAATATAATCTATAATTCTATCTATTCTATTTCAAACGTTGTAATACCTGAATGAGTTCAGGTTAGCATTGCTAGACAAGGAAAAATCCAAAAAGATGAAAAACAATTATTTTTTAAAGAACAAAAATGCTGAGAATGATGATTATGTAGAAATATCATGTAATTTTGGGCTCAAAATATTATCTGAATAAAATTTATTCTAATCAGTGCCAGTAATGCACTATCATGGATTACAACATGAACGGAATGATAGTCTTTTCTTAAGGAAAAAAAAAGTTCTTACATGTAAGGCCAGTAACTTAAAATTAAATTGGGAACTAATATAAATTTAATTTTAAATTTTAGCTGAGTCAGGTGAAATAGAAAATAGCTAAATATTCAAGTAGGAAAACATAGTATGCAAGCTGTTAAGATTCAGTATAACTTCTGCCTGTACCTTTAAACAAGTAAAACACTAGACAAGAGGCATAAAACTTTTTTAACACTTAGAACATCAGATAAACAGACAGTGAACTCGGGAGAAAAAAAATACGATAGGAGCCCTACCTGGAGGGAGCTGAGTTTTTAGTCAGTGAAATACCAAGAGGGAGTCTAGGCCAAGCCCAGCAGTATAACTGAATTGAGAAGATCTAGCTGGGTCACCCAGAAAGCCAGGGGGCTAGAATTTGTGGGGCAGAATACCAGATAGAAAAAAAACTGCTAAGAAAGAGAGCTTCAGAAATCCATGGGGGGGAGGGGCAGTGCCTCTCCCAGTTTTTGGTATGGATGAGCTCTTATCATCAGTATTTACACATGAGTAAATACTCAGAGTCAGTGTAGTGAGTTCAGTCGTGTTTCTCAAAAGTCCATGTGTACTCAGAACTTCAGAATATGTTTGAAGTTATACGGAAATAAAATTTTTTCCATTAGTTAAGATGAAGTCCCACTGGATTAGAGCGAGCTCCACATACAATGACAAGGGTCAACCAGGTCTTTCTGCAAAATGGAGACGACAGACACATGGTGAAGAAGGCAAGTGACGATGGAGCAGCTGGAGTGCTGCAACTACCAGCCAAGGAAGGCCAAGGTAGCCCATGACCACCAGAAGGGAGGGGACAGCCATGGAACGAACTCTTCCTCAGAACCTCCTGAAGGAATCTACTGTGCTCACATTTTGATTATGGAATTTTGGCCTCCAGAACTGTAAGGGTTTAAATTTCTGTTGTTTTAAGCCAACCAGTTTATAGTTCTTATAGCAGCCTTTAGAAAACTAATATAGTCAAGGAAAAAAACCTCCTGAAAAGATTAGAAATAAAAATTCCCAATATCCAGAGCCAGATATAGTTCCTCAGAAGGGAGAATCAAATTATTTAATTCAAATAAATGCATCTCAGAAGCTCAAATTCACAGTAATATAGTAAGGTAAAATTCATGAACAATATTCATTAAAAAATTATTGACATATGAAGAAGCAGAAAAATACTATTGGTAATGAGAAAATTTATTCAATATAAACTGATCAAGAAACGACAGAGGACAGAATTAGTGGACAAAAGACATTAAAGCAGTAGAACATGGAGAGTCCCAGAGATGTGAAAAAATCAGACTTCCTCCTAGGGATGAAAACATCTTCTTAGATAAGAAATAACTAAAAGAAATTAATGGCGGATTAACGGCAGACTAAACACTACAGAAAAAAAGATTAGTGAACCTGACGACAGAGCAAAAGAAAATATCCAATTAAAAATGAGGGAAAAAGATTGGTGGAAAAAATAAACAGAGTGTCAGTGAAACCACTTCAATAAGCGTAAATGCACACAAATGAAGCCCAAGAAGTAAAGGGGAGAAAAGAAAACAGCAAAAACAATTGGAAAATAGCTAAAAAATTTCCAAAATTCTTTATTAATGTAAAACCTATGTATTTCAAAAAGCTCAGTTAACCTAAGCATAAGAAATATGAAGATACAAGGAACAATGACAAATAGAAAATATTTGATAGTAAAACTCAACAGAAAGCAAGTTAGGTAGGAGGGGGCAAAAACAGAGGGGTACATTTACACCTAAAGGGTATAATGTGTACTAACTGGGTGAGGGGAACACTTATAACTTCGACTCAAACTATAACAGAGCAAGCCATGTAACCATTTGTACCCCAGTTACATTCTGAAATTGAAAAAAAAAAAAAGAGAACAAGACAAGCAGGCATAGAAAAAAATACACATAACATATTGTAGTATAAAAGTTAAAGAAGACAAGAGGTTTTTTCACTGAAAATAATGCAAACCAGAAGACAGTAGAGATACCTTTTTAGAATACTAAATGAAAAATAATCAATGTAGACATTTCCACCTATCACAAATACTTTTCAAAAACAAACATTTTTAAATGCTAAAGAATTCATCCCCAATAGAACTACAAGTGAAGAAATGTTAAAGAATATTCTTCAGGTGAAAGGAAAAAAATGATACAGATGAAATTCTTAATCTAACAAAGAAATGAAGAGCACTGGAAACAGTAACTCTGTGGGTTAATGTAAAACTATAATTTAAATTCCTCCAAATATAATTATTTAAAGCAAAACTGACAACAATGTATTGTGGCATTTACAATGTATGCTTAAGGAAAACATGCAAACAGCCCAAAGACTAACTTCACATGTTATCTATAAAATTAGATATAACACGTATGATGTTTCTACTATATATGCTGATACTTATGTTATATATACTTAAAATTAAAATATTCCTTAAAAAACTGTGATAAGGATGCATACTAAAAATCTTAAAACAATCAAGGAAACAACAAAGACTTATAGCTAATAAAACTAACAAGGAGATAAAATAAAATAAAAAATAATCCAAAAGAAGATGGAAACAGAGAATAAAGAGAACAAAGAACACATGGAAAAAGAGAAAACAATTTCCAGAATGGATTTATACCAAACTGAATCAATAATCATATTAAATATAAAAGGATGAAACACTCCCTTTAAAAGCCAGATTATCTGACCAAATAACAAAGGCAGACCAAGTATATCCAGCCTACACTAAATCCTTTTAAAAAATGAAGATATAGATAGATAAAAAGGAAAAAATGAAAAAAAAAACTAACATTAAAAAAAAAAGCAGTGTGATAGCTATAATATAGGACAAAGTGAATTTCTGAGTAAAGACTATTACTAGGGATAAAGAAGTTCATTTAAGAATGATAAAGGGATCAGTTCATTAAGATGACATGACAATCTTAATTACGCACTTAATAACAGAGGTTCAAAAACAAAGCTAAAATTGACAGATCAGAAAGGAGAAACAGACAGATCAACAATTATAGTCAGCAACTTCAACATCCCTCTTTCAATAATTAATAGAGCAAGTAGACAAAACCACTAAAGACACAGATGACTTAATTAATGCTAACCTAACGCATAACCAGTTTTGTGAAGGAGGGGGGTTCTTATTTTTATTATGGTGGTTTCATTGTTGTCCACACATCAAACCTGTCAACATACACATTTTAAGTATCAATACAAGTATGCAATTTTTAAAATGTTAACTATCTAAAAATTTTTGGAAAAACCATGTAAATCAAAGACTTTCTGGGACATTTACAATCACTTAAAATCCAAAGTTAAAAAAAAAATGGAAAAAACACAAAAGAGCCAGAAGTTCATACCTGGTGAATACTGGAAGTTGGGACTGAATGACCTGGACTCTAATCACAACAAGTAATAATGTACTGAACATCAAGACAATGAGTTTTATTAGTGTCTGCAGCATAGAAAATGGTATACTACCCTTTCCACGGAGAAACTGTCCTGCAGCAGTACATAATAATGGCAAAGTATACTGGAAGATAAAAAAAAAAAGTTTTAAACATAGATAATATAAGATTATCTAAGTACAAGATTACACAAAGTATAATTATAAAATCAATGTGGCACAATTTATAAAAGTGACAATGAATAAAGCTGAGCTCAGTAATCTCATCCAATAATGAAGTATACTGTACATTATTGTATTCTTTTCTAAATTGCCTAATGCTATTATTGAAAGTTAAAAAGCAAGCCTTAAAAAACCGATAGTATCATAAAATTTTAAGTATGTAATTTACAGTAGGTCTGAGGAAAAAACTTGGTTTCTTGCAAAATTTTGGTAGTATTATTATTGGTTAACAGTTTGATTTACATAATTACATATTTATAAAGTAAGGGTATTAAAGTCTGATCAAACTAGGATAAAAGATAGCAACAATAAAATTTATATTTTTCCTCACCCCCTGGGCAATAAACACTTCATACACACAGCAAATTCCCACAACGGTTATTCCTTGTTCTTTACACAATGTTGCAACAGCCACTAAAAACACCGTCAATGCAATTGGAGTCCACACTGCAATTTAAGAACAGAAAAAAATAAAAATACACAAAGCAAGTTTATAGTACATAAAATAGTATTTTAATCCTTACTTGTGATTCATATTCACATTTGTGAATGGTTGGGTGTTAAGGTTAGCTTGGCCAGTAACATATGCTTTAAAATACTTAACTTTTATAATTTTTGCTATTATATATATATCTATCCAAAGAAAAACATCAAGATGTATAATTTGAACTAAAAAATTTTTCTGGAGAGAAAAACTATCTAACTAAATACTAACTTTTAAAAGAAAAGCAGAGAGGTTACTTCCAAACAGAGACATTTTACAAGCTTGAGTATCATAATGAATGAGCTATGGGTCTGAAATAAAGACAAATATTGATATTACTACACAAATATGTTACATACTTTATTATATCTGTAATTTATTAAAAACTTGAAACCTCAAACCATTGAGCAAAGTAGGTACCATTTCTTTAAAAAAATACTATAAAAATTAAAATTAAACAAGTTAACAATAAGCACTAAAATCAGTACTATTTTTTTTAAATCACAATAGAATATTCACAAGTCCTATTTAAGCTTCATCAACTTTAAGTAACTGTCTATTACTTAGTAATTTCATTAAAGATCAATGAACCATAAGAGTAATTCTGTATCTACTAACTTGCTTTGTGAATCTGGGCAGTTTTTCTGAGCTTCAGATTTTTTAATGGAATCTCAATCTCTTAATTCTTTTTGGTTTTAAAAAAAAATCTGGTATAATTGTGTGACCTCAGTTTTTATTAAAGAAGGATATTAACTAAAGAAAAATTGAAATAATTGACTTAAATTCAAGTTTAAACAAGAACTTAAATTCATGAATCTAATAAATTTTCTTTTATCCTTAGGCTTACTATAGAAACTCATCTATTTTTGAAATTGCTTACAGTTTTCAAGTACCCGACTAACTTAAAATTACTGAAAAGAAAAATAACAAAAATAAACACACAAACCCAAACCCCCAAATTGTTAGTGATACTATTTTTCCTAAAAAAAATATAATATCCTAGTTAGGACAAAATCATCAATACTAAATGTCATAGGTTATAACAAGTGCTATATACTACAGTGCTAAATTCAACAAGTAATTCATAGAAGAAAAAAATCAGTTTACGGTTATTCACTAACGGGATGAACCTAAAGTTTGGTCTTCAAAGATAAACAAGACATAGAAAGACTGGGGCAGGAGTATAAATAAAACAGTAGAGGTGGGAATGAGGTGGGCAAATAAATGACATAGAGAACAGTATGGGCCAAGCGTAGTGGCTCATGCCTATAAACCTAGCACTCTGGGAGGCCAAGGCAGGTAGACTGCTTCAGCTCAGGAATTCAAGACCCACCTGAGCAAGAGCAACCTTGTCTCTACTAAAAATAATAAAACTAGTGAAGTACTGCAGCATGCACCTGTAGTCCCAGCTACTTGGGAGGTCTAGGCAAGAGGAGAGGGATGGAGGGAGGGATGTCAAGAAAGGGAAGAGGGAGGTCAAGCCCAAGATTTAGAGGTTATGCTGAGCTACAATGCCATAGCACTCTACCCAGGGTGACAGAGTGAGATTCTGGATTCTTTCTCAAACAAACAAACAACAACAAAAAAAAAACCAGTATGGTTGAATGGGCATGTGTACCTTAAAAATTAGCGGAAATAATGGCCTTGATAGTAGGTAATTTAAAAATATATTAAACAGTGTATATAGCTGGTTTAGCATACAGTATATATCTCTGAATCTCAAAATCACTCTATGGGTTAAGAATGCAGGTATAACTGTACCCATTTTTTAAGATGAGGAAAGAATTTTGAAAAGAATCATACATAATAAAGAGACCATGACTTATAACATTGTTCTTCTGATATTATTCATAGCTTCTAACTAATTTATATTTCCACTCCAAGGAAGAGAAAAAAAAACAGTTCCCTTCTATAATCCTGGAATCAATTTCACCAATTAACAGCTCTAATAAAGGCAACAAGCATTACTTAAACTGTCACTTCAGTTCTTCAAATGTTAATGAATGTATTACTATATAAATACATACACTTTGATTTTATAATCAGATTTCTCTGGCTAATGTTACCACATGTAATTTTGTCTAAACAAGTACAACTGCTAAATAAGTTGCAACACTTAAATCCATTCCAATTGGGAAAAAAAACAGGCTTTTCAACCCATGTGTGAAAGAAACACACCTTCAGCAATCATTTATTCAAATAATGTTAAGTACTACATTTCAAGAGTGTTGAGGAGAGAGATGACAAACAAGTAATAATAATCTTGGTCAAAAAGTGACAAAGCAAAAATGTGTTAGAGAAAAAAATATAAAGTGAAGGGAAATAAAAAAGACTCAGGAAGACGAGTGGTGCTGCCGATGATGTTTAAGGGGACATCTAAGCAGAAACTTAGAGTAACAGAAAAGCACAGTGTAAAGGCCTTGAGATTGGACGGATCATGCTCATGAAAAAGGGCAGGAGGCATCAAAAATCTAGAATTTAGTGGTGATTAAACTATTACAAATTGAAAATTTTACACAGGACAGTTTATCCTAGTTAAAAAGGGGAAAGAAAACAAAGATGATGATGAAACTACGGCCTTATGGGTAAAATTATTTAATGTAAAATACAAAGTATTATAAGGATTAAGATGATAGAGAGATTCAAGGTGGGTTTCAGTGTCTTTACAATCAGAATTTAAAATACATTAAAAACATTTACTTGCTTATTTCCTCAACTAAGGTACACTGAATACCCACTATGTATCAGGAACGATTCTAGGCAAAGAAGATTAAAAATGGAGACTAAGAATAAAGAAAAAGCTATCTCTCACAATAGACGGTTACATCTATTGTGGGAAAATAAACAACAAATGAATAAAATAAAAATGTACATTATATATCTTCTGATTAGATGTATCATCAGAAATACAAGTCAAGCTTAGAAAGCAACATGATTGTGTTTTTTGTTTCAGTCATAAAGTAGCATGATCTGTTGGCCCCCCCCCCAAATTCAACCCTAGAATAAGGTGTATGAGAAATAGTTTCTAAGATAGTTAAAAATAAAAAGAATAAAAAGAAATTCCTGGATAGTCAAAGTTATCTTAAGCATTTGTGTTTCTGCAGGTGTTATTAAGAGCGGCACCTAAAGCCAAAGGCTAGAATAAGAAAAAAAGTTTTAAACTTTTGTTCTAGCCCAGGGGTCCTCAAACTTTTTAAACAGGGGGCCAGTTCAATGTCCCTCAGACCGCTGGAGGGCCGGACTGTGGGCCTTGGGATGAGTCGGCTGCCTAGCAGGACAGGCAACAGTGACAAAAACACCCGGCGGGCCAGACAAATGTCGTTGGTGGGCTCCATGTGGCCTGTGGGCAGTAGTTTGAGGATGCCTGTTCTAGCCTTTCCTGACTGCTTTGGGTAGATAATTATCTGCTCCTTTACTGCAGAAATCTGCAGCTACGTTGGCGAGTGGGTGCTCTAAGAAGTAAAATTACAGCACTTCAGAAGTCTTGATGGAGTAAAGAGATGATTATCTTTTGAAAGGTACAAACTGACCAATCACCCCATGGCAGCAGCTTCCAAATACCTCCCATCTAAATGCAGAGGGATGGTGTACTGTACTCTTCTCAATGCTTATTCTCTTTAGACCAGAGGGGGTGCCTGGTAGAACTGGCAGCAATGACAGTGATCAAAAGTGGACCTGGGACCCTGGAACTCCATATCCTAGGTTTTAATTCTCCTCACCCCTTCACAATCACCAGATGAACATACAGTGTCCCTGGCCTTCCCCTTCATAGGCACAGTGGTTGATAACTTTAGGAAAACATGTGGCTTGAGCCCAAAATAGCTAAATATCTACTGGTACAACAATCACAAATGAAAGACAAACATATTAACATTCTACTAAATCATAATTAAAAAGATACAGCAAGAATTTCTAATAAGTATTTCTCAAGGAAATAAGACAAGGTATTAAAATTATGAAGAATAAGAAGTGATTAAAAAGAACCAAATAAAGTATCAGGAACAAAAAATAACATAAGGTAAAAGGCTTAGTTAGAACAGGAAAGGCTTCTGTAACAGGGAAACGCTTAAACTCAGGCTGATAATATAAAGGAGTACATAAATGAGGCAACTTCATAAAGATCTAAGGAAGACAATTCAATGAAAAGGGAACATACGTATAAAGGCCAGCACTCTGCTATTTGAGAATAGCAAGGTTTATCTCTCTATACGGTGAAGCAAGCGAGGGTGAGAATGACAGGAGAAATGGTTAGAGAGGGTCATGGACTTGTAGATCACAGTATTTTCTTTTTTCCATTCTCTTTCTTTCTTTTTTTATTTTTTGAGATAAAGTCTTACTCTATGGTCTGGGCAAGAGTGCAGGAGGGTCATCATAGCTCAGTGCAGCCTCAAACGCCTGGGTTCAAGCAATCTTTCCACCCGCATTTCCAGAGTAGCTGGGATTACAGGCATGTGACACTGTGTCCACATAAGGTTTTTATTTTTTAGTTTTTTTGAGACAGAATCTCACTATGTTGCTTAGGCTGTCTCAAACTCTTGGCCTCAAGCCATCAAGCTGTCCTGGCCTCCCAGAGTGCTGGGTGGTGTGAGCCACTGCACTCAGTCACAGTATTTTCTACCATTCATGTTTTGTTTAGAATGGTACAGTAAAAAGGATATTGGTTTGCAATTCGTATTAATGAACTATGTCTTACTGCATGATGGACTGCTTAGCTGTAGGGGATCATTTTATAAAGAAAGAAAGTACAGTCAGGTTAAATATAATTTGCATAAAATAGTAAATGGAGCTGGAAAATAGTGGAGCTGGAATCTGAAATCTAACTCTTGAGTTCATGAAGTTCTTAATCACTATGTCTGCTGCCATTCAATCTGTTTTAAGACATTATGCACAGCAGTAAAAGACAAACCTACTCATATCATAAACCTAAGAAACATTAAGCTGTCTGGCTAAATATCTTATTTCTTGAACCTTGGTTTCAAGGTTCAAAACTAAGCTTGTCATCAGTACCTTGGAACTACAGTGAAAAAATCATCCCAAGAACTTAGGGAGAAATCGCAGTTAAATTTTAATAGTAAATAAAGGTTAAAACTATTATGAGAGGTCCCTTTCATACCTACACTCTAAGAAATCATTTTATTGCATGGAACTTGTTTTCCAGCAATGCCAGGCATCATCAGGACTATGAGCTGATGTATACTAAGCACCTTCCAGGACAGATCACATAGTAGGGGCTTAATAAATACCTGAACTATGATCAACACATAATAAAAGTTATACTCTAGTAGGTTTTTAACCTTGCCTACACAATATGCCTTAGCAGGTATTACTTATCAAAAGACAACTGAAGTACTGGTACTTTTATCATTTACAGTTAACAGCAGATGACAGGACTGCCTCAAACTCCCGTATTCTGGGGTTATTTGGTTTTTGAAATTGTGTCACATACAAACTATTCACTCTTGATAAAATATACACTACACACAAGTTTTTTAATATTGATAAGGTTCTATGCTTCTGCATACCTATTAAAGTAGAATAAAATGTAGTATATAAAGTATATAAAGTTAAGTCCCAAGTTTGGTGTACATCTTATAAGAAGCACTTTGAGTAAATAAAAATTACCTGATCAGGTTTTACAGCTGTAAAAAAATCAAACATTATATCTTACTTACCTATGGAATTATCTGGTCCTTTTGATTTGGTATATGACAAAAATGCAGCTAGAAAAAAGATAGATGACAAAAGTTCTGCTCTTCCTACAACTCCTGTTACCTAGAAAGGGAAAAGAAAGGGAGTTTGTACTAATAAAGAGGATCTTGAAAATTTACTACATGTAAAAGCAACAATATTCTAACTAGAAACTAAATTTCATAATTTTTGAAGTGCACATTTCTGTTTCTTAAACATTCTTTGAGTGCCCTCAGGTGGTGAATTTGTATATCTTCTGTAAACAGAACATTTTCAGCAACTCTTTGAATAGTTCTTTTATTATTATTTTAACTTATTTTGAAGAATTAAAAGACTCACAGAGACCTGAAAAAATAGTAGAGAGGTACTCTGTATTCTTTACCCAGCTTCTCCCATGATAACATCTTGCATAATTATAATACAATATCTAGAACTTAAAAGCTAAGTCCATCTTACATATTCCCCTAAAATACAAGCATTCTTAAAATATAAAGGTACCATAAATTCAGGAAGTTTCACCTTGTTAACAATTTGAAAACTACAGTTTAAAAAGACTATACACTTTAAGAATTTCTTTTAAATTCTAAAATTTAAATATAAAACGTCTAGACTTCTCCCTTTAAAGCATTCTGAACTCACTGCACAATTTAAAACAACCTATTGTTTTTATAAGCATGGAAAAATGTTTGGTCAGCAAGGCACTAAGCACTGGTGAAAGGTTCACAACAGTGAGAGATAATCTCCCCTCAACACACACACACATCTTCTGCTTACAACTAAAAGCTTGTAACAAAGCAACTAAACAAGAGTATTCTCTGTTCCTGCTGGGAAGAAATTTTGGACTTTCAAGTTTATCAAGTGAAATAAAATTATAGTTTGGCTATTTCTTGCTAGGTGGGGCTGATGTACATATTTGCAATAGCAGAGCTAACACACCAATTTTGAAACACACTGAAAATAGACAAAATGAATATCATTATTTGTTAGAATGTCTGTTGACAAATAATACTTAAAATCCATATTGATAAAAAAATAGCAAAGGATTATATTCATTTATATTTTATATTACTAAATGCAAGAGATTTTTATCTTGTTGCATGAATATATTTTTATTAAAAAAAAGCTGTTTTAATTTAAAAATTTTATATAGTAAGAAGGTAAGACTGTGTACTAGAAAGTAAAGACTTAGTGTACTAATTTAAGAGTCTTTAAATACTTGGATTAAAGTCATGATGAAAATTTTTTCCTTAAAAACATATACCAATATAATCACTTTGAAGGATTTGTTAAAAGAAAAAAAAAAAAAGAATAAAACTGATTTATAGTTTTACTTACTGCTTCTGTGTGTACTGGGTGCACTGCAAAAAGTAACGAAGCAATCATACTACTCCTGTTCTTCAGAAAAAGTTTGCAGACTTTAAGAAATATCACACTAACCACAGCATGAAAAATCATATTTAGGAGGTGATATGACATTGGTTTTAATTCACTAAATAGGTAATTTAAGCGAAATGTCAACACTGTTAAGGGACGGTAAGACTTGTGGCTTCTCTCCTAAAAGAGAAAACAATCACTAATTATTAAAGTACTTTGATCCTTCAGGGTACAAAAACTAATAACTATGTTTATTACTGAAAATATCTATGGTTGACTGATAAGTAACAACGTAATAATGAAATGTCCCAAAAGTAATGCAAACAGAAAAGATTACTTTATACTCTGTTTTTCTCTTTCCTTAGTCCACAAAATAAATTAATTTCCTCCCTGATATATAATGATCATATAATCAACAGTACAGGAACAACAACTATTAATTAATTCTTTTTACTCCCTGATATATAATGATCATAGAATCAACAGTAGAGGAACAATAACTATTAATTCCTTTTTAAAATACAGATTATTGTTTTTTTTACAGTAGGACAATCCTGGTGTTACACAAGTTGGAGTATAGTATTCCTTCAAAAGCTTACTTCCCTATCCACCACCAATACAAAAGTGTATATAGCTGCTGGCTAGGTCTTCAAAAGGCAATGTGAGAACAGAATGTTTACCAATTCAGTTTAAATAGTGATGATTCAAAAAACTACTCTAGTTGTTTCATGAAAAAAATGTCCATAATGTATAAATCTGAAGATATTAAACTAAAATCTCCAAATACTACAGAAAGTAATATAAGAGCAAAAACTTTCTCAGAATATGAGAACAGACACTTCTGTTATTCTCTGTTGGCAATAAATCATATTTTATGTGAAGTACTTCATTTCTTCACAAAAGCAGTTACTATCACCCAGAAATACTTTCTACCAGAAGATAAAAATCAAATCAGATTTAATAATGAAGCACATAGATTAAAAATATATTATCCTGTTAATTTTTTGTAGTTTTATTTAAAGGCATCCATACTCAGCTTCTTTGCTTTTCTATCTTTTATATTCTGCTATAACTCTCTGGCATATAGGTATAGACTTGTACCTTGCTTACCAGGCAACAGCAGGAAACACAAAAAACAAACCTTTCCATTATTTTATTTTACTTATTTTTTTTTATTAAATGATAGCTGTGAATATTAATGCAATCATGGGGTACAGTGTGGTGTTTTCATATACAATTTGAAATATTTCCATCAAACTGGTTAACATAGCCTTCATGTCATTTTCTTAGTTATTGTGTTAAGACGTTTATATTCTACTCTTAGAAAGATTCACTTGTACCCTTGTAAGATAAACCATGGAAGTGATCCCTCCAATCACCCTTCCTCCACCCATTGCCCC